CTACATTCCTACTGTTTAATTCAATAAAATTGGATTATGGCAAATAATTTGGATAAAACCGTCAAGTAGAGCTGAATTCTACATTTTTATTTTAAATACTGGTAAGGTCTTTGAATTCAGTAATGATGACTGTGAAAAAAATAATCAATCATTATAAACAAGCTGTGTCATCAGTGCTGCGGTGCCGGCGGAGAGGACCAAAAGAGGCGATCCCCCACCCACGCCCTCTTTGTACTCTTCCTGTACACTTACGGTAATATCAAGCATGCTCGCTTTTCTCCATCACTGAAAATCACCTTCATTTGTCCTTGTTCCAGCTCTGCAAATGGTTGTAAAATGAGAGTTCACATTTATGTATAATAAGCAGATTTTTTTAAGTATACACCGTTCTGCAATATGCCAAGATGTGTATTTGAATTGCTTGCAGACTTTCAACCTCGCTCCCACTTGCCTCGGAAATGCAAACTGTTCACTAAGGGGAGACCGCAGTGTAGGAAATTGTACTATTGCAAGTGGGAGTAGGAAGTAAACTACATAACTAATAAATGTAAATACATTTGCCTGATTGTGTTTAAAACTATTACACTAATGCTTAGGTTACAGAGTTTCTACCTCATGTAGTTAGTTTTAACTAGATTCTAAACACTTAGACTAAGGAAAGAAAGGTGACTAATATTTCTTTAAAGTCACCCACACATACCATGTCATTGCACTTCATTTGGCTTAAATGGTGCAATGACATGGTAAACACACTGAAAAAATCAAAACCAAAATGACATCACAGTATGAAAAAGTGAAAACAAACAAACTATCGATGAGCAACAACTGTTGCCAAGACGCCTGCACTAATAACAGAGGCTGCGTAATAGTGAAATACAGTAGAGTGGAAAACTAAACAACAAAATTGATAACACTGAAAGAGGAGTACATTTAAACCATAGGCCCTGTCTAGAAACTAAACTATTAGCTAACTCACGCCAATACTGGCCCTTTATTAGAATTACTAACAGCAAGTCTATGTTATTTATCACTGGTATGATGAAGATCGCTTCCTGATCACAACTACAAAAAAAGTCCATAAAACCTGGAATTACATTTTAATTATACTACACGTCTTGTATTCTTCATTAAAAAATAACAATGGAACCCCACATTTTATTTTCAGAATGTCTTTATTTAATTGAATGTTGCTTGTAAATTCAATATTTTATCTGTCAATTATAAAAACAAAAACATGATTTCAGTCACAGTCCAACATTGTCAAACATTAGTCATATAAACATCCTTCCTTAACAAAATAGGTATACAATGAAAAACCCAACTTTTGTTTTAAAAAAAAGAAGTTGACAGTTCCAAAGCAGAAATGACATGATTGTTCTCTATTTAATGTCAAACAAACCAAATTGGAAGTTGTTTATTCCTTCCATGGCTTCTGCAACAACTTCACTTTATTTGTACGACAGTGCAACTTTTTCAAAACACTTAAAAATCTGATCATACATAAATCTTTTTGAGTCTGTTAAGTAAAAAAGGCATCCTAATGAAAAGCTAGTTCACTGTGTTGCAACTTATTAGGGAAAAAAAACACCTTTTACTCTCGTCTGCAGTCTCACTTGAAGTCACACTTTTTGTACTGCGTTTAACACTCTGGCTGACCACAAAAAGCAACTCTCACTGTGTAGCACGTCTTCACTCCTGACCGAGAGCTTCAGTCACCAAAAACATGCCTCATCACAGCATTTTCATTCAAAATTACATGGAATTTGGCTTGAGCACTCAAATGCAGATGATGCGCATGTGACGATTACATTTCTCCACAGTGAAAGAATTTTTTTAGCATGTGAGAAGACTAACTGCTACTTTTGGCTAAGTATTTCAACGGACGGAAAGGGTTAAGAATTTGGTCATGATTGCAGAAAAAAAAGTTCCACTTTCTAATAAGCCCTCATTTTCTGAAGGGTTTTAAGTTGTAACGAATGACTTTATTGATGTTTAAGAAATTCAAACAGACTAATGCTTCATTACCTCCAAGTTGAGAATATGTATACACTGTTTAGTGTATTTTTGGTCCAGATGCTCTGCAGGTCTGTTTTCACAGTGGTGATATAGACAATAGGTGGGGCCTTCCTGATAAACTGAAGAGCTAAAAAGACAAAGCAAGTATCACGCTGGAGGTGGATCAGGTACTTTTCACTACTTAAAAACACACAAGTTGTTCTTGTTAATGGATTATAACTGTTACATAAAATATTAGTAGATTATAGTTTAACCATTACTGAAGACATATGTTACAACTCAAACACTTTATAAAGAATGCCTTACTAGAAAGTCGTACAGAAAAACACCATGAATCTCCACACTGCACTATTTCCACATCAATTTTTTTTATCTCCTCTAGTGAGACATTGATAACTGCTTAGTAATACTTTAATGCAGACACACACACACACACACACACCACAGGTGGGTTAGGAAGTGTTCCTTGATGGCAGCCATGAGGAAAATTCTTCTGAATTTTAAATCTACCTGAGGACACATTTTCCCTTCTGTATGTGCATCACAGAAGGGACTCCTGATAAGACAGGAGTCTGAGGGTGATGCACCTCAAGACCAGTCGAAGCCCCCACCCACCCTTTCCCTTACGCTGACAAAGAGAGAGAACAGACAAGAGGGGTTTTCTCTTTCAGTCTCACTTCCTCTTTTCTGTCAAAAGACAGATGTAAAGATTGTGTGTAAAGAACGTGTGAACCCTGACAGGGCAGACAGACAATAGTGTGTGTGTTAGTGCGTGAGCTAATCATGTTCATGGGACACACTGACTAACATATGATGCGTCCTGAATTTCCAAATTGTGTAATACTTTCTACATTTTCAGATATTCTAAGATATTTCCGTACAAATTTACATTTTGCCAATTTCTGTAACCATAAACACATAGTACTGATTAAAATGCAGGTATGTGTTCTATGTCTGCTCTGCTCTGTGTGTGTGTGCGTGCGTGCGCGCGTGTGTGTGTGTGTGCATGAAAGTGATCTGTGAATAAACTTTAAAAGCTGTGAACTGTGAACACATTTTGATTTTATTTAGTTTTCTACAATATTCCTTTTCTGTTTCTCACAGTTTGGAATAGCCATTTACACTGCAGTATACACACACCTGCAGCTAGAATGCATAGTAATTTATTCTAAACAGAAGTCACTGTTGGTTGACAGTTTGACTTGTGGACTGCAAACACCTGCGAAAAAGTACAGAACTACCAATATAATGGTTCTTCCGCCGAGTAGTGCAGTAATGTTTAAACCTAAAATCGATTTTTAGGACACATGGAATGACATGTAGTGCCTACGACAAATAACAAAAAAAATAAAAATCATACAAGGCCTAAAGACACAAATGTCAAAAATGGCTGCTTTTCTGGTGAGTTGACGCTGGGAAATAAAACAGCGATTTTGGTATTTGACACCTTGACATGTGTTAAGACACCTGACTTTGGGCTTACATGGAAAACTGATCTGGGTGTTTAATCAGCATCATACGTCTTGCCCTTACTGTTAGTCTAGTTAAGTACAGTGACATTAATGTTTATGCAATTTAACTGTTTTTGTGCACAGGTACACCAATTGAAGAACCAAAACTGGAGTGGATAACAAGTAATTTCACTGATTATTTAATAATAATAAATTAGATACATATATCGCTTTTCAAAGTTCAAAGATGCTTTACATAGGGTAAGATGAAAGGAATTGGTTAAAAAGAAGAGCAGGGAAGAGTGCAGTATTGAAAAGGTAGGTTTTGAGGGCCTGTTAGAAAGATGGCGTGGAGTTAGCCTGTGGGATGTGGCGAGGGAGGGGGCAGCATTGGAAAAGGCCCTGCCACCCAAGGTCCGGCATTTGTCCTGATGGTTTCAACATCAAAAACTTGTCTTGCACTGACTGTTAATTGAGCGCTTGTTCAATCATATTTGAACATGTGGCAGTAAGAAACTGACGTCTGCGATGTGTAACATGTATTTGTTAAGCCTGATAAATGTGGATTCATTTCCAATAGAGAGGTAGTAATTTCCTTACTGAAGTGCTAACTGTAAAGATTATCTTTCTAATTTGCACTAAAGTGACACTAAACGTCGCAGTGCATTTCTTTTGCATTTTGGAATTTATAATATAACATTTAGAATCTATAATTCCAATAAATATTTCATAGTTGCTACATTTTTTAACATGAATGCATAATGTAAGTCTCTGAGACTAATGTATTTATCAACATGTAAATCACCACTCTGCACACCATTTTTGATTCATCCATCAAGAATTTTTAACGGCACGTTGTAATGAATGACCTCAGTCCCAGGTTTGCATGAGATTTGACACACGTTTGTCACAACACACACTTGTCTTTGCAAATGGACAGAAAGAAAGACCTTTTCTGGTTGATAAGTGTGAGATGAAAGGGGGGGGGGGGGTGTCAGCCCAAAAGCCAATTTAAAAGCATATTGGGTCATTTTACTAAATATAGCTAGAATCTTATCTACTGTTGTGGAGCAGTGGACTTCTTTCTCACTTCTCCTTTTAGTTCAACATTAATACTAATAAGGGTTTCCTGTTGTTGCAAATGGTTTTGTGTGTTTGTGTAGGTGGCCATGATGCAGTGAATGCATTTAGGTTGTCAATACCACACCTACGAAACACTACCTATGACACGGAATAGCTGCGGCTCCACTGATTCAAAATGAAAATGGGAAGTGCCGTCTTCCTGTAGTTTCCTGTCGGGTGCACTCAAACAAGTTTACGTTCACACACTTGCATCTATAGGCCCCACGCACGCGCGGCTTGACGCCACTCTCGCATCACGTAGTGGTGACTGCCAGTGGAAAAGAAAATTTCATTACTCACACACGGCAGGTTCTGCAGCTTTCCAACTCTCTGCAAGTGGTTTTCCTGTGTCCTCAGGGATAAGTATAAAACGGTAAGCAACACAACTGTCTGCATTTCCAGCGAATCTTTCGAAAAGTATCTTTTGGTGATCCGGTGCCTTCTGCTGAAACTGAGAATATGAAGCTGGTTGTGCTTTGCCTTTTTGCAGTCTGCTGCTTTTCTTTGGCGAACACATCGACAAACATTACTGAAAAGAAAAAATTACAAGAAGTCCTGAGACAGCTGAAAGATGTGAGATTAAGCCTACAGGTAGGTTCCTCTACATTTACTTTTTCACTATCTTGCCCATGTGTGGTCACTGTTTAACATTAAATACAATGTTGTTGGTTTTTGTCTTGCAGCAACATGACCAGAACATGACATTGAATACTCCACCAAGGAATATTGAGGTAAGCCAAACTAACTCAACTAACTATCTAACCAAATAATATTGACAGTATGGTCATCACCACGTTTAATGTTTGTGGTTGCTTACTCATTGTTGTTATTCTCCCACTTACTGTAGTTGCTAATTGTCATGTGCCAGCTACTGTAGGAGTACATCAAATGATGTGAGATCACAAAATCTGTTGGGTTATAAGCAGATATAATCAGCTGTAAAGGTTGAGAGGCAACAGTCTCACCTACATAAGCAGTGTAAAGCTAACAAAACTAAACTTAACTAAATCTAGCACAGTTTATAGAGTAAATTTAAATATGAGAATATACTTTAAAATGTACTTTTCTACTTTCTCTCTAGTAAAATAATTAAGTATCTGAAATTAATAACTGCACAAAGTTTCTTGAGTTCAAGGTAAGAAAATATTTAAGTTAAACAGCATCAGAGAACAAACTAACACCCTCAAAACTTCACACAAACTAGCCACCTGCATTAAGTTTTTTTGTAAAATTACTGGTACCAGTTAGACCCTCGACAAACCTCAATACCATCATATTAATTTAAACTATTATTTGATTGTATGTGCTTGGCTTCAAATAAAGACCTCCTAAGATAAAGTGCATTACTTGTAAATTCAGATCTTTCTTGTCAGCTGTATGCTCTTGAGTGAGTCAAATCAAGAGCTTACTCAGTTCTCACAGCTTCCGTTGCACTCTCAAGCGAAATGTGATGAGTAATCAAGCAGAGAGCAGACACTTCCTCACACCACCTCACAAACTCAAAACGTTCTCTAGCATGCAAGAAAACATTTGACTCAATCTGTAGTTTAAAAAACTGTCAAATTACAGCTCATCTTAAACCACAAATGATAAGGATTCTTGTGTGGGTGTGAAGCCATTATTTTGCAAAATAAAGCTTAACAATCTGACTAAAAATCACTTCACTAATGAGAATTTGAGGCTGTCAAATGAAAAAACTCCATCAGAGAATTCCTAAATAAATAGATGTTAGAAAGAAGCTGTTTATTTATATTTATTTTGTTCAGTTCTCTTCACTGAAGGAATTCTCCAAGCATGCTGTAATCCAGAACTATAATTTGACCCAAGATTGCTGGTGTTATGAGCATGACACATTGAAGTATGAGTATCTAAACAGAAACAAACTGTTTCACTTGGAAAAAATGTGTCAACACTTTCATTAAGTTTTCTGGAGGGGAACAATTCAGACAAGAACATCCAAAGCACATTTAGGAAAAGAAACGCATCTTTAAAATAGTGGAAACTTTACTTGGTTAAGTTTCAGTTTAGGTAAAAGTGTTATGAATGTATCTGATTGGAAAGTCAACTGCAATTATGAAGTCATGACATGAAACTAAAAACAGCAACTTTCTTGGAAATGTTTTGTTGGCAGTGATGAGGTTTTTTCCTCAAATTGATACATGTAGTATTGCACCATAAAAAAAATAAAAATAAAATAAAAATCACCATGTAAACGTTAGTGAACGTAAAAGATTTTTGGCTAAACTAAATCTATATCTATATAGACGCTCTTTTTTATGGTTAATCGGCAATGTCCCTGTGTCATTTTCAAGTTTTCTGTAAAACTGAAATGAAATGGAAATATTTTGAACAAATTGTTTTTGTGAAAGTGGGATAATCCATACTAAATATTAAGCACTTTTAGAACAGTTTACAATGTTTGATATAAAAAAAAGCACCATCTGGTTTAGGTTTTTCAAGAGGCCAAATTGGACAAAGGACATTGATATATGTTGGTGTGGTATTGATGTTTTGTTCACAAACTGTGTTTTCTTTTCTCTTTTTCATCATATAACAGGACTGCTGCTGTCTGTCAGCCTTGCAATGCTTCCGGGCTAATCTGCAGGTGAAGTTCAACGCTGCAGACAGAAAAACAAACAAACTCTACAGGAGCCTGAGCAATCCCATTACTGTAAGTAAAAGGGTGGGAATAACTATTGGGAATGACTATTAATAAATAATATATCAAACAGTGAATCTCAAGTACAATGTCAAGTTTGCTGTACAGTACATTTCTAATACTAACTTATTTCTTTGATCCATTTCAGGAGAGGGGTCTGAACTTCTGTAATTCAGGAAATGTCATGGTAAGAGAATTCTGTTATTTCCTTATCTTTTGGCAACTATTTCAGTCATTTAAACCTGATTGTGGCACGTGTTGCACTCACAATAGATAGCCAATAAATTCTTCTTGTGGTTGCTTGTTTCCCTTTAGTCCACCTGCCAAGACTGTGACTCACATCCGAAGGAAAATGCCACAGAGTTCTTCAACAGACTGGAGTCTCTTATTCAAATGGTAAGGATATATCTTTTTTTTTTAATCTGGCACATTTCACAAAAATATAAATATTACACTTTTCTTTTTACTGTGCCATTAAGAATGTTGCTGAAAATTTGTAGCACTACATATTAAAATCAAGGCATGACTATATGAAACAATTATTGATGTGAAAATTCAAAAGAAATGTTTCCCTCTTTAGGCCATAACCAGACGGAGCATGAACTGAGAGGGGGAGATCTACTTGTTACCAAGGATTGAATGTAGACAAGACACTACGCTGAAAAGATGCTAAATATGTTATAGCCTTCTAAGCATTTAACTTATTTAATATTTATTTTGATAGTGGTGGGGAACCCACTCAAGCTACAAATGAGGTATTCTCAGGAAAGCTGCTTTACCGCCACCCAGTGGACGTCGCAGTTTTTTCTCTTTTTCACAGAAAGTGAAAGTTAATTTATTTGTTGTAGTTCTTAAAGAAATAAATTATATAATGGCATTTATACTATGTATGACGTGCCTTAGTACATTCTTTTTTGAAATAATTGTACCAATTGAAAATATTAAATCGATTACAACAGAGGTTTTGGTTTGATTGGTTTATTTGGTAACATTTCTACAAGCTTCCAGCAGATGTGAATACAAGACCATCATTTAAAGTTCTTATTGACTGTGCGAGTTTGTTAAACTGAGAAAATTCACAATTTGATATTCATACCTGACAGTATGTCACTGCTTATGTTTTTTTATGCGTTTATTCTTTGGTGTCCATCAGATGAGTTGCACCCCAAACAATTATCTATGTATCAACTTTTAAATAAACCAAACATTTACATGAAAATGAGACTGGATAATTGGCAGCATAGCCTAGCCAAGGGAAAAGTATTTTCTGTCATTTGTAAGGATACAAACTGTGGCGCTTAGTTAAATTACAAGATAATAAAATTTATATTTATATCAACTTAATATAATACTTGTGAAAAACAAATGTGATGGTAAATGGTCTGTACTTGTTTAGCCCTATAACGCCTTTCTAGTCTTCCGACCACTCAAAGTGATATATATATATATTTTTTTTAAACACAACATTCACCCACATTTATATGCTGAATTAAGTGCTCAGAACAGAAACTAACACACTATGAAACAGCCATTGGGGGCAATTTGGGGTTCAGTATCTTGCCCAAGGACACTTCTACATGCAGACTGGCACTGTCTTCCAATTAACGGGCAACCAGCTTAACCTCCTGAGCCACAGCAGGGGAGGTGTCCCGGTGCAAAACCGAAAGAAGGTGATGTAAAAAGTGGATTTAAGCTATAGGAAGGGAGAGGCTGGAGTAAACATGTCAACCTTCTTTTAACGCCCAGGTCGGCTAAATCAAATGATGACCCTCCCATGTCAGCCAATTGCCTACTGAGGTTGACCAGGACAGCCTCCAAGACAGTGGGATGGGCATCACACTGGGATAGCAATGAAGTGAACACTATTGCACTGTGAAGTGCAGACAGTTTGTGACTAGGGTGGTAATGTTGCTGATAGATTGTTCATGTAAAGGGGAGTGAATTCATTTGTTCCAAGTAACCGTAACCGTTAACGTTAGCTGGCAATAAGTATCCTTCCAGCTGATACTGAGCATACATCATGAGAGGAAATTAGTATTTATGCTGAAGTTTTCAGTACATTTTTGTTTTCACACTGTTGTATTTTCACAATTTAAAACCACTTATGGGGTTTGCTACCAAGATATGTGCTGGACTAAAGCAAATACTACTGACTTTTCACACTATTTTCTATGTAGTTTTAGTCAGAAAAGAATTGTGGAAATAGTACCATTACTGATTAAACTATTCAAATGCAAAGCATGGCTGAAAATGACCAAAATGTCACTAGACAAATTTTTTCAGCTTGCCTTGTGTGATTTTCTTTGTTTCTTGATTTCCTACTATAATATATTCATTATATTGTCTCCAGTGATTCATCCAATGACCTTGCGCCGTATTTAAGTTTTTGGTATTTTAAAGCCACCTAGACTGAAGAATGTGATTTCTGTAATGTGAATTCTTACATGGTACACATTGATCAAAGATTCATACCACAGGATTCCAGGCCCAAATATAAATGAGCAGTCAAGACAGTTGGTTAGATGACTTCTCGTATCAAAAATAAATCACATTCAATACCAATATTGAATTACAGGGCTGAGAAAGTTTGTTTGAATACACACTGTGAATTACTCCCACCACTAGAGGGCCCCATCAGGTTAAAGGCAGTGTGATGTGTGTGAAAAATGTTTCCACCTTTTGCTGTTCAGACAAAAAATGTTCTGTGTTATTTTGATATTGTTTTGCTATAGACTGTATTATCATTGTCTATTTAATAAATAAATCAAACATAAAATCAAACTCGTGTCACCTGAGGAGGTACATTGTATTTGGGCACTTTGAGAATAAGAGTTAGGTAATATAAAACATATAATCTGTCTGTCCATCTTCACCAGGTGCGTTTACTTTGAGTACAGACATGAAAGCTACCACAAAAACCACTAACAAACAAGTGTGAAGACCCAAAGCAATCCAAATGCCACTAAACTCTCACAATGACAGGTGCGCACATGTTTTTAAGCAGGTGTCCTATCTTCAAAACACCACTGATGCGGACTTCCCAGATGACAAAGGGGATTTCAGCAACACAAACACATCAATTTTTACCAAGATGTTTTTCACACCTATGAATAAACAATACTGGTGACTTTGTTGACTTAACTCACTTGAAAAATGTTAGTTTATGCTTTAGTCAAGAGAAGGATTTGTATGGTATCTTAATCAAAAAGATGTCCAGAAATAACCAGGAGTTAAAATCTCAATCTCTGATGGACGAATTGTATTATACAGTAGATGTCTGAAAAGAGTGATTGCAATTCACCCTACCTTTTACTAAAGACATTCTTAAGGTAATCTCTCATTAATCTACAGCCTCATTATTATTGCTGTGCAGTGTGGGGCAAAGCAGCTCACTAAGGCTACGTTCAGACTGCAGGCCAACGTGACCCAAATCCGATTTGTTTGCCCATATGTGACCCAGATCTGATCTTTGGCAGTGTGAACAGGCCAAGTTACATGGAATCTGATCTTTTCCAGTTCGGAATTGGGCCACTTCCATATGTGGTCCAAATCCAATACAGATTGGATCTTTTTAAATGCGACCCGAGTCCGGACACTCAGGTCGGAATTGATGCGACTTTGACGTCACTCTAGAGCAGCTATTATCACAGTTCTGCGGTGAATGAAAAAGCTTCACAAAAGCCATTTTTAAACAAGGGGCTCTCTTCCTCCTCTACCTCGCTATCATCTGCTCACAAACTCCCTTTCTTCCACCTGAAATCCACCGGACCGCAAGCTCTCTTCTGAGTTACGCGCATGCTGTTTGTCTAGGCGGACACAGTGGGGGGAGAGAGGGGGAGAGAGAGGGAGAGTGAGTTGTGGGGCAGTTGCGTTGTACACCGCCAGAAACTGTAAAGAAAACACTTTTCATAATTCAGGAGAAATGTGACCCGTGAGAGGACAATAAAAAACGTCAGTCTCCCGTGAGCTAACCTCTGTTGCTCCTTGTTTAGTTCTGTAGCCTGCAACATGTGTGTGACGTGTTATTCTTCTGCGCATGCGGGTCACTTTCAGGCCACGGACAGTTCACACTGGAGTCTGATATGGGCCACATTTAAGCAATAATGTCAAACAAAAAATTCGGAACTGAGTATTAAGGCCTGCAGTCTGAACACAGCCTTAGACATGAGGAGACTGCAGATCACACGAAACAAGGCAGCAAGAATGCTCTTAAGGTGTGTGTTTGAAAAAGGAGCGACTACATATGAAAATGGGATGGTCAACAGTAGATGAGCATCTGAGACATTATCTTATTTGCTCTAATTAAAAACATTCAAATTTAGTATTAAAAAAGGTCCATTGTGTAATATTTAGGGGTATCTATTGACAGAAATATAACATACATAGCTATGTTTTCAAAAGTATACAAAGACCTTACAAAGAACGAGCCATTTTTATCTACCTACACCGCCGGTTTAAAAGGGGAGACTGCTGTCCAGCCAAATTCACAGGTATTTATTAGACTGGACAATTTCAATTTCACATATTATAAATTTAGTAAATGTATCTATCATAAAGGCTTAATTTCTTTCTTAATTTCCTCAGAATGTCTTGCCACAAGAACAGCTTAGAGAGCTGAGGTCATAATGACTTCAGCTGCTACGCAAGAGGTTTGTGGGAGGGTGCTGATTAGCTCACCAGGTAAAGCCCGCACACCATGTACAAAGATCCATTCCAACCCACAGCTCTTTGCCACATGTCATCCCCTATCTCCATGTTTCCTGTCTCTCTCTTCAGCTGCTCCATCTAATGAAGGCAAGAAGCCCACAAATAAAATTTAAACAGAAAATATAATATATATTATTTGAGATCTTGAATTTTCTACCACAACCATGTGATGTATTAAAATCAAACTAACATTAACATCACTGAGTTTATCGGATTAGAATAATTTTGATCTTTTATAATAGTCATATATTATGTTTTTATCCTCACATGTACACTGCGGAAAAGAGTTAACTTAATTTACACTTGTTTTATTGCAAATCAAAGTGACAACAGGTGCACTGTTGACGGGCTTCACCCAAACAAACTGGGCTCAGGAATGCTAGCTGCTCACATACAGCATACGGTGCGGTCCTCCCCATATGACTTACGTAAATGACTAATCATTCATGCGGCACACCTGGACACACCACAGCCGTATCGCAGTAACACAGCACCTGTGTGAGGTCGAGGTTAGACTGGTTTTCATCCTACCCTTCCAATAGGAGGTTCTGTGTGTCTGAATACTGTGTCTCTTCATTCTGTTTGGTTATATATGGTGTCTGGTTCAACAGTAATTTAAGTTTCAAGCAGCACACCACAAAGCTTGTGTAATCATGTTTTTACCAGCTTAGAAATATATCAAAAATACGATCATTAACTTTAAGAACACTGAGACCATCTTACACGCCTCTGTTTCATCACGCCTTGATTACTGCAACAGCCCTTTTACTTACTTTACCCAAAAATCCAGATTGCAGACTCCGGACTTTTCAAAACTCAGCTGCCAGGCTTTTAACCAGAACAAAGAAATGTGATCACATCCCTCCTGTTTTAGCTTCATTACACTGGCTCCCAGTATATTTTAGGATAGACAAATTTTTTTGATTACTTTTAAAGTTCTTCATGGCTTCTCTCCCGTTGTATCTCTGACCTTTTAGTTCCATTCGCACCAGCACGTACCTTGAGATCCTCGGGCAGAGGTCTTATGTCTGCTTGACTGAATACTAAAGGGGACAGTTTGAAGTCAGGGCCCGAGGCTCTGGAACAGCCTGCCTGAGGAAGGGCAGAGTGGCTGAATCAGGGAACTCATCTAAGTTCCTTCTTAAAACGTACTTTTATAGGAGAGCCTTTCCTGATTGATTTTAATTAATTATCCATTTTTCTTTAACTGTATTTTAATTTCATAACTTTCTTCCTGCTTTTACCGTGTATTT